AAACATTTTTAATAAATGCTTGCAATTACTTTAAACAAGGAAGATTGTTTTCTTATCCAGATTCTCAGAGACACAGATTGGGACCCAACTTTCTTCAGATTCCGGTCAACTGCCCGCTGCACATCCGAAATTATCAACGAGACGGTGCAATGTCGTACAGTAATCAGGGAGATAACCCGGTCTATCATCCGAACTCACTAGATTCGTTTAACATCAGTCAAAAGGCAGCAAAATTAAGTCCGTCGTATTTCACTTATGGTTATGTGGACAAGTACGACGTTGGAGACGAAGATAATTTTTCTCAAGCTACAGATTTCTATGAAAAGACATTAGATGAAGCAGCCAGGACAAATTTGATTGAAAATTTGGCAAGTTCACTTTCCACAGCATCTGGTTATCTCCAAAGACGAGCAGTTGACATGTTCGGCAACGTTTCGAAAGACATGAAAGCTCGACTTGAAACAAAGCTAGGATTACAATAATTAGGTATTCTTCATTATTTCTCAATTAATTATTATTAAAATCTCCGCAAAGGAGAACCGATCGATCTGAGAGTTCCTCCATACGTTTTAAATATAATTTTATTTTTTTACAAAACATATACACACGTACCTGTAGTTAAATTTTATAAAAAGTATGTAATGACTGGATTTGTAAGACATTTAGTTTTCTTTGGCAAAGCTACTATCAAGGAAATTGTTTTTTTTTTTATTTATTTAACTTTGGTGGTTATCTTTATCAAATAATACTTTTGAAAACAGAGTATAGGTAATGTATAAATGAATTACATAATTGAGTTTGCATAGAAAGCAAATTAAATACCGAAAATATATAACTAATGTAAGGTATGTGGCGAATCACCTTCTGAAGAAATATTGTAATTACCATTTGAAAATCTTTCAAAGCCTCGTTTAATATTAACTAATTAAGGCGTATCGTGTTGCTCTTCTTCTTCTTCTTCTAAAGAAGCTGTAATGTAAACGGTCAATGTGATTGATTTTCGTTTCAACGACTGCGTTTTTGCAGGTGATGATTAAATTCGCGTTTTAAACATTTTTGTAGAGCTCGGTTTATGTACAGGCAACGTTAATAACACTCTAGGAAATCTTGTTTAAAAATTAAAAACAATTATTAGCAGCGAACAAAACCTTCAAACACATGTGTTAGAGATTATTAATAAAGGTGACGTAGAAAACATAATAGAGTGATACTGATATAGATAAAAGGGTACTTTGATTGATTAGGACTTATCAAAAGGTAATTTACTTACTAGATAAAGAATTGGCAAAAAGAAATTGCTTTTTCAAGAGCGGTTTGAATTGCTCTAAAGAATTGTCCTTTTTGTGTTCTGTCTGCTTTAAAATAATTGGAGCATACGTAATTCTAAAATGTAGCATCGTGCTACAGATGGCGTTGTTACGCCATTTGTAGTATTTTCTAAAACGCGCTGTTAAGACAGCAGGTAAAAGTTGGTCTGTGTTCTGTCTGCTGCCTGCGACGCGCTGATGAGATCCAAAAAGATCGAAATCGCGATCCGCCTCTGGCAGTTTCGACAGAATACAGACCACTTCGAATTATTTTATTCGATTAAGCTAACGTGCCTTTCACGTTGAGGTTGGCTATCGTTTTCAGCAAGTAGATATCCACACAAGTGGACCTTGTTG